GGCTCTGGGAGACTGGAGCATGCCTCAGGGGTGGATGTGGGGAGGAGAGTGAGGAAACCAGTGTTTATGTCCCAACTCCTGCCCACCATTGGTTGAGGGCTGCCCTCGGAGTGAAAACTTCCTGGTGTTTGCAGCCCCCCAGCCAGAGAAGGCCCCGGAGGCGGCCGGAGGAAACCATGTGCGGGTGCAGGGCCAGGGAGGGCTGAGGAGGCAGCCCAGGGCAGCCACCACCTTGGAGGCTGGCACTCATCTGCAAGTGAGGAAAACAAGTGAGGAAACAGCTCGGAGGGTTCGAGGGACTTCCCGCGTTGCTTCCTGCCAGCAGACATTGACTGAACTCGGCACACAGATGTGCAGGGCAGGCCCTTGCCCGATCCCTGATCCCTCCGCTTCCACATCTGTAAGATGGGAGGATGCCTGCCCAGGACTGACCCTGAGGGCAGCTGCTGCCTGCAGAGCACTTAGCACAGTGCCTGGCCCGACACCTGGCCCATCCCCTGCGGCTCCGTGAGCCAGAGCTGGGTGCACAGAGGCAGGCAGGAGGGCTCACACCTGTCGAAGGCCTCTCACTCCCCCAGCGCGGTCCATCACCTGGCTGAATGCCTTCAACCTGATTAGCAGGGCCGTGTGTCAGCTGTGGCCTTGACCAGATGGGTCTGCATCCCTGGGAGGGATAGTTCATTAATCCGTCAGCACAGAGGAGCTGGCAGAATCAACTGGTGCCCGATCCCTCCCTGAGAGAATAGGACCCTGAGAGAATAGGACCCTGGATGGATGCGTTTTGACAGCTTGATTTTATTTGTTGAGAGACAGAGATGCGGGAACAGGAGCTTCTAGTCCAGGCCAAGACAATGGGCAAAGAGCGATGTGGCCCAAGAGCAAGGGGCTGAGGGGCCCAGGGCGCCAGCGTGTGTGAAAGCTGGGGTGGGTGGTGGGGAGCCACACCCTTAGGCACCTGAGCCGAGGACCCCCCTGCTCGCCCTGTGGGCTGCAATGAGCCAAACAAACGGAGGTGGCTTCGGGCCTCAAGAGGCCCTGACCCCCCGAGGCCCCTTCCTGGGCTCTGCTAACTCCTCCTCTCTCCCCTTCTTACAGGAACCTTTTGGACAAAGACATGTTTTCCAAGTCTGACCCACGTAAGTCCTGCTCTGACATAGTAACAGTGGCAGCGGCATTGTGGCGATGGCAGCGGCCAGCCCCTGAGTCCTCGCTGAGCGTCAGGTGTGGGGGAGGGTGGTGGGTCCCGGTGCCAGTCCAGGCTGCTCTCGCGAACACTGTCTGAGAAAGGACTGGGCGGCTGGCCCTCCCCAACCCCCACACTTGTGAAGCCTCAACACAACCGAGCAGGTTGGGCGGGTCAGCGTTTCAGGGCCCAAAGTTTCCAGAACCAGGGAAACCAGTACGTTTAAGACCCCCATTTGGCTGTGGGGAGCTATTAAGTCAGTTAGCTATTAACTGAGCCCAGGGTTCTAGCCCAGAGAAGTGCCACTCAGGTATGTGGCCTCACGCAGGCCACGGGCCTCCTCCGAGCCCATCGGTGAGGGGGCTGGTGACAGTGACAGGCTGCCCTGAGCCCTAGGAATGATGGGGGTTTCAGGTGCTCTCCTGCCCCACCTCTGCCACCAGGTCACCCCTCATGCCCACCTGTCTGCCTGCTGCACACTTGCTCAGGCTGAGATGCCAACGGCCCTGACCCCCTCCCCAGAGGGCCCTCCTCCCAGGCACACGGATGTGCTAGGCCCCCTTCTCCAAGCTGAGGATGCCCCAGACCCCACCCTGCCACCCAGGCCCACTCTCCCGAGGCCCCTCCCCCGAGGCCCTGCCCCTCCAGGGCCCTCTGCACAGGGACACCCCTTCTCCTGGCCTGTGTGGCTTGTTAACCCTTTTTCCCTCCTCTCCCCACAGTGTGCGTCATGTATACTCAAGGGATGGAGAACAAGCAGTGGAGGGAGGTAGGTCCTGCCCCTTCCCCCGCCAGACACCAGCCTGGCCCTGGTGGGAGTCTGCTTGTCACTGACGGCAGTCACCTGACTCTGGAGACAGCCCCCCATGTTCATAACTGCAGCCTCTGAGCCCGAGGGAAGGAGAATGAGGTGTGCAGAGGGGGGACTGGTTCCCGCTGCTGCAGGAAGAGTCCAGAGGAGGACTGGAAAGTCCCTGCCCTTGGGGAGCCCCCGTCTGAGGGGGACACGGCCATGTCCTCGGGGAGCCCCAGTCTGAGGGGAACACGGCCCTGCCCTCAGGGAGCCCCCGTCTGAGGGGGACACGGCCCTGCCCTCGGAGCCCCCGTCTGAGGGGGACCCAGCCCTGTCCTCAGGGACCCCCATTTGAGAGGGACACAGCCACCTCAGAAGAAGTGATCTGGTGCCCTGACAGCGGTGGGCATAGCCCCCAGCACCGTGTCCCTCCCCGGCAGCTGTCCGGGTCCTGACCAGTGTGAGCGGTCCGTCAGGTGAACCCCCTGCCACTAATCTTCATGCCTCCCCTCTGCTCTGAATCAAGTCCCAGCCCCTCAGCCTGGCTTCAGGCTCTGCCAGAACCGGGGAGTCCCTCCCCAATGACATGGTGAGGGGGAGACCAGCCAGGAAACTTCAGGACTTCAGGCCTTGTCCCCACCCTCATCCTCGTGGGTGGGCGGCCAGGGCCCCTCCTCCCTACCCCGGCCTCCACCCCCACCCCCTCAGTGTGGCGGGAGCAAGTAGCCAAAGGGCTGCCTTTCACCCATAAAGTGTCTGGGAAATGCCTGCAAGGTGGTGGGGGGCGCGCTGGGCTGTTTACTCTTTCACTCTCTCCAAGACCGCGCCAATTAGAGCGTGGACCCCATCGCGGGGGAGCCGTGAGCTGGTTTAAAGGGACTAATTACTGCTGAGGCCTTAGGGCC